TGGATGTACCGTTATTTTACCTCTGGTTTATGCTAAATCGTCGATAGAAAAAGTTGATTGTGAATTGTTTTTGGGTTGTTTTGTTTGTCTTTATTTCCAATTGATATTTGCTTACGTTGAAGATCAATAGATACACGAATACCACTATACCCACTTACATTTTTATTTAGTATTAACACCATCACTTTCTTTCTTGCGTTCTTCACGGATGCGTTTAAATGCTTCCGTTTTAACAAAATCTACCGAATTATAAACCACGCCGCTTTTCAAAGAGTTCAAAGTTAATGGATCGACCTTAACTGATTCCTGCTTTGTCAAATTATTTGTACTTATGCTCTGACGATTTGCGTTTGGTGGATTAGCTACATCTAAATCAAAATATTGAAGTTGATGTTAATTTCCTGAACTTTGTCTTAAGTTAGGTAACGTTTGATGATCTGCACTATTTGTAGATTCTAAACGTTGATGCAAAACTGAAGTGTCAATGGTTCCAACGCTAATTTGATTTTTCCTCTTGGTTGTAGGTGAGTATAGCTTACGAGGCAAAGTTTGTACTTCTAAAGCATAATTATCTGTTTCGACCGAATGATCGGTTGCTGGCAAATCCGTAGAACGCCGAAAGGCCTGCTCCTTCAATGCTGGGTTTATTAACTGAAAATTAAACTATTAGACATTTTATTCATTCTAACACTAATACTAGCTTACCTTAAAAGCATTAGGTTTAAGATTGCGATCTACTGATGGAGGTTTCAAAGCAGATTTTTCCCCGCTGAATGTATTATTGACCATTTTATCTGTCATAGGCTGATTTTTCCAGGGTTTCTCATGGATTTTACCCCAAGTACTAATTTTTGGTTTGAGTTTACGGTTTACGGGAGGTAATTCAGACTTTAAATACAAAAAATAAAAATTAATGTTTACAAGTTTTGGGAAAAATTCTGTCGCAATTAAAAAGTACAGGAGCAACCACATAAGTAACACAGTTCAAAATAAAGAATCATATGTTCAAAGGTTTGGGAACGTGGAACGAGTGAAGAAAAATATTTCTTTGACTCACCCGGCAACTCTTTATATAATTTGTTAATATACATTTTTAAGCATCTAGAAACAAGTGCAGATTGACATCCAATGTATGCGGTGCCGGTTCATTTTGGTTGTGCCTCGCATGCGATCAAAATAGAGAATATAGTCAAGCAAGTAAGTAAGTAACGTTAAAGAACGCATATTTCGGTTTACAGATTTGTCATAAACGTGTATTATCAAAAATTTTATATCTTTATATTTTCTTATGTGGCTTCCAGGAAATGTAAGGTTAAAGACCTTTTTAAACCACATTTATCCTTAAAATAACAAAAGATAAGAAACAAGCGTATGTATATAAAATGTAGGTTTATTATCAGGATAAATGAGAAACTTTCGGTTTTTACGCACCGTTTCAGAAATATACGTGCGACTCTAACGCTAAAGACAAAAATTTTGACCGTGGGCTTTATACCACGATTGTTTTTTTAAGGCAACATAGAAAAAGCAACAAAGTGTAAGCGGTAGAAGCATGGTTACCACATTTGGTCACCTGTGACCAAAATAGGTAACTTTTTGAGCGCTTGGTTGCTTGGCAATTTCTTCTTTGTTTTGGAAATTTTTGGTAAGTTGGCTGTGTATAAAGTCAGACTAGAAAAGTTGGATTAATTTGATAAATTGTCCTGAGGTTGGTTGCGTGTAGCGGTGACAACAGTACTAGAAACAATTGCATTGATCAGGCAACACAGCGCTCAGCAAAAATCACTAACCACATATCGAAGAAAATTATCGCTGGACATTCTACGTCTGTCTTACGTTCAATATTTATTGTGATACTTGGGTCGTGATCCATCATCACGTCAGTATTTACATGTTTTTGTGTTGAGAGTTGAGGGAAGGACCATGATGAATGTATTTCCAAAAAAATTTATTAAAGCAAAAATGTTTTGGGTAGGCGTCGAGGCCGATGATAACCATCAGTTACCACCTCTGCATGGTTGTAAGTCATGCAGAGTCCCTCCGGCTTGTAGCGCTGTGGCTTTGCCGCTTAAACTCTGTAAGAGTTTTTGGGGTGTGCTTCAAGCGGAGTGTTGAGCACCGGTTATTTATTTAAGTTCAAAAATTGGGTAGGCGCTGTGGCCAATGGTAGCTCTTGTACCACCTCTGTATGCCGAAGGCAATACTTTGAGTAATATTCGATACATTATTTGTTGATTTTACTCGATACTTTGCAAAGTACTTGTAGTATTGAAAACTTTTTAAAAAACACACTTTTTAAATTTTTTCTTCCATTGGCAACTCAATTTTCTTTGCTCATACGGATTACCATTAGCCTGTTCCCGTACTTCAGGATTTGCACGATTTGCAGGATTTACACGAACAGCTGATTTCGCCTTTAATAAAGCTTATGTGAACGTGGCGTACGGGAACGACTTTGGACTAAATCCTGCAAAACCTGCAAATCGTAGACGCACTATATCATTCAATTTTGTCCATAATTTAAAATAAACTGAAATTGCTTGTAGTCTGTTGCATAACATAAACCACATAAGAATAAGTTTAATGGCCTTATACATAAAAAATAAAGTAGGTTTAAAGAGCTTAATAAAATTACATTTTCATACATTTTTCAGTTTATAAACCTTTTTTATTTTTTATGAATAAGGCCATAAAACTTTACGCAAAGCTCACGAAAATGCAGAAATTTTAGAAACTTTTTGGATATGCAGTTGACTTTTAATTCAAACTTGCACTTTATTATACTAAAATTGAATAGGCTACAAAAATGCATACCCAAAAAGTTTACAAAAATTCTTAATAACATTTGAAATTCGTGAAAGTATATATATATATATATATATATATATATATATATATATATAATAAACGTTAAAATTACTTCTAACATGAAAGTAAGTTCTGCAATGAAATAAAAATTAAATATTTTAAATTTCTATTTTCTTAATTTCAGGAAATAACTAGATATACGATTGAAGAATAAAATAATTTTAGTATCCCAAAAATGGTATTTTAATGAGTTCGTACTAAGTAGTATCGATACTTTTTACCTGATACTTTTATAGTATCGATACCATGAGCTCGATGCCAGAATGGGTACTCAGTATCGATACCAACGTCTGAAATTTGGAATCCTAGCCAGAGTAGCTTAACTGTCATATCAAAAAAAGTTGAGGTGCACCTTAAAATGCATTACCAGAATCGAAACGGCAATAGCCCGAGGCACGCCCTTTTAGTTTCCTTTTACTATAATATGTAGCATCACGTAGGTGCAATGATTTTTTTAAGTAAAAGACCGCATTTACTTTTTATAGATCCCTCTTTCTAAATTCCAAATTTTGAAAACGTATATTTTTTTTGCCTATATTTGTTGAAAATAGCACACAAAGCTAATATAGAACAAAAACTAAGAATACAAAATTTGGCGGTAAGCCCTTGCTCGCAGCATTACCTTCGAAAGAAGGGAGAACGCATCGATAAACCGAATCCAGAGAAGCGAACAAAGAATGCCTTACAGAGAAACTAATGTAGACTGCCTAGATAAGTACATAGTTATTTATATTAAATTGAAATCGGAATGAGTCTTAAAAGATTAAAATTAATTAAAAATTTTATAAATCAGTTTTTATACATATGTATGTATATTGGTATTTAGATTTTACTTTAAAATCGGCATGTACACACACAGGCATATTTAATTAAGCTTGAAATTGTACTTCCTCACTCTTGTACTTCACTTCATTGTCTTACTTCAACTTCGCTGCAAATTGAACAAAGCAAAGCATGACTTTTATGCGAGAAAAATTTCCCCAGAAAGTAACGGTAGAAAAAGAATTTTTGGATATTCAAGCAAATAAGCGAAACAAATAAAATATTATAGGATATTCTACTTTGCATTCCCTGAAGTAAAGCAAAGAAGCGAAACAAATAAAATATTATAGGACATAATATTTTGCATTCCCCGAAATGAAGCAAAGAAGCGAATTAAAAAAAAATATTAAAGGACATTCTACCTTGCATTCCCCGAAATGAAACAAAGAAGCGAAATAATTAAAATATTCTACTTTGCATTACCGGCAATGCCTAAAATAAGCGAAAGGATTCGAAGGCATTATAACGCTATGCCTTCTAGAACACGTTACTCCTAAAAGCGATTACCGACTTTTTGTTGGGAAGGTGCTTGCAATGCTCTACAAAGGGCCTGTGCCGATCAGTAGAAAAGTTCTAGGGTGAAACATCTTTTTACTATAGTGAGACAGTTTCAAATTTCAGCTGTGCCAGTGCGTAATTTTTTACTGCTGGAAATTTTTGACAGTTGCTTTGATGCAGATGAAGACTATCGAGTTAGCAATTAATAAAATGAGGCTTTGCCTTGCTTCTTCACTGGAAGTGGTTTTTACGTGGAGGGTCCCAAGGCCAGCGCACAGCCCATTGCTGGGACGGGGGTGGTTTCGCAACCAAATACACGTTTATATAGCGAGCCGCTTGCTCCAAGCAGACACCCACTTGCAGACGCACCTACTGGTGAACAGACGCTGCAGACTTCAGCGAGCCCTTAAACCGAATAAGTCGGAGTGGCCCCACCGAAGCTCCCTCTCTTTCTGCCGTGACCCAAGGCTCCANTGCCCAATCCACAAGAAAGGTGACCCCGCCATTCGCGCCAACTACCGCGGGATCAGCCTTCTAAGCATAGGTGACAAGGTCTTATCGAGCGTATTGTGTGAAAGACTGAAAGCCCATCGTCAATGACTTATTGGGCCTTATCAGTGTGGCTTTAGACCTGGCAAATCCACCATATCCCAGGTATTCACAATACGCCAAATCTTGGAAAAG